CACACACACACACACACACACACACACACACACACACACACACACACACACACTATGCTAAATTATTCATAATGAAAGAGCGTTCTGGTTTGGGTTTGAATTTTACGGTCATTTACAGGTCAAAGCTCTTGAAGTGGAAAATTACACTATGAAGCAGAAAATATGTCTTAGGTCTTAGGTCACGTCTTGTCAAATAGCACTTAAATACTGGGAGTTTGACGCGTGTGTGTGTTTGTGGGAGGACAGCAACAAATTAATTTCACATTAGCAGAAATTCAGTTGCACATTTAATAGTTTTTTTTCCTGAGGTATAAATGATCAATCTTACCTCAGTTTCAACTCTGAAATTCCATTTCAGCGTTTCACCGATCTCTTCACACTTCACAGTCCGATCTTTGTCACAAGAGACGATGACGTCGTCAACTTGCTCAGACAACTGTTCAACAATGGTGACATTACATTAGTGTGTTGGGATGAAAAACATCAAGAATAAAAATTACTTTTCAATAATGCATATGCAGTGGTGGGCAGCGCTAATCCGAACCACAAATGTCTTTGCTAATGCTAAGTTGCTACACAGACATAAAATTGGCAAAAGCTAATGCTAAGTCGCTAATATTTACCATATATTTTGCACCTATTTAAATTATGGTGCAACATGTTAAAAAATTATTAACGGAATAGAAAAACGTGGGATTCATATGGGTGGAAGTGTAGTCAGTTAATTATTTATAATTATAAGTACTAAACGGCTAAATGAAAAAATTCCACTCTCAGCAGTAGTGTTGTAGTCAAGGCCACCTAACCCGAGACCAAGTCAAGACCAAGACCACAGTGTCTTGAGACCGAGACAAGACCAAGACTTTTAGGGTTTGGACCAAGTCGAGACCAAGACCAAGGGAGGGCGAGACCGAGATAAGACCAAGACCAGAAAAAAAAGTGCCCTAAAAGATGGAGTATTTTGCACACGTACAGTGGGGAAAATAGTATTTTGTCTCTCATAGTTGATGTCCAACTATGATGTCAATCACAGGCCTCTCTCATCTTTTTAAGTGGGAGAACTTGAACAATTGGTGCTGACTAAATACTTTTTTCCCCACTAGAGCTAATATTGACAAAATCTTTGTGTGAGGGCAGAAGAAAGAATTTTGCTATAGAGGCGGAATGTTAACATTAGTGATGGTAAAAGTTTAAAGTTGAATCCACTGTCTCTGAAAGTAAAGCACTGCCGGATTTACAAGTTGCTCTACGCTTTCTCCTGGTTGTTGTTGTTAATGATACTATTTATGAATAATGTAGCCAAATTTTTTACTTAAGATTTTGAAGACATCTTTTACCATTCCCAGAGAATCATGGTTCACTTTCTGGAAGTGCTGCGTGCAAGTGACGGGGGCTGGGGATGGATGACAGCCGGTAACAAAAATACATAAATAGCAACGAGTCAGGTTTGAATTTGAATCAGTAGCTACATTTTAAATCAAATGAAAGCAAGATTGTTAACAAATAAATTGGACAATAATCTGGCTATTTAGTGATATTTCTGCAGTTGTGGTCTTGACTGGTCTTGAAATAAAATTCCGAGTCCTCAATGTCCGAGACCGAGACGAGACCGAGTACAAATGCTGTCGAGTCCGAGATGAGACCAAGACCATCAAAAAGTGGTCTTGAGACCGGTCTTAAGACCAAGACCGGTTTCAAGTACTACAACACTACTCAGCAGGTTAGCAGAACCAAGCCCACAATTTAGATAAATAAAGAAACTCACAACGTAGACTTCATTACTGCTGTTCCTGTATTCATCCAGAAGGCTTTGGTTGTAGCACATGAGACCCTGGTTTTCAATGTTGTGTCTGATCTCCTCCTCTTCTTCAGCTCGCATCATCCACTCCTGCAGCTCCTCCTCAGAATGAGCTTTTAGGCAGTTCACACCATATTCACATGTTTTGGGTCTGGGGTGAAATAAGTTATACATACATTACAATTAACACTAATAAAAGGAACACACTCTAAAGTTTCATTTTCTATCCACCTCTGGAAGTCTCTGTGAAAACATAAAATTTATGGTTACATGGTGGAGCATCTTTCGGTCACTACCCAGAGTTTGTGGCCGTAGGTGAAGGTAGGAACGTAGACAGAGCGTCAAACAGACAGCATCGCTACAGCTCAGGGGTCAGATTTATAAAGCTTGCGTACGCACAAAACCAGCCCAGAAACTTGCGTACGCCACTTTTCACGCCAAGGTTGTGATTTATAAAATCCAAACTTGACGTGAAAATGTGCGGTCCCTCACGCCAGCTCTGACCCATGCGTACGCTCATTTTGGAGACGTGAAACTGCGACACAGATGGTGAAGTGAGGAATTAGAGCCACACTGTGTAATGACCACTGTCAGATATTTAGTTTACCTTCAGAATCAGGCTTAGATTTTTATTCAGCTTTATCATCAGCTTTCTTAACAGTAAAATTTATGCTTCTGCTGCTAAGCCATGAGGGCCTTTGAAATAAAAACTTAAATCTTAAATAAAAGTTAATGCATCCATTTATCTGCTTCCTCCTCAGACGACCCTGACCCACAGACCCCTCCCCGACAAGAGACATTTCAACAGCACAACAGCAAAGGTCACGCTTTGGGTACTCGCAGGGCACGCCCACCCTCGCCAGTGTGGATGTTATAAAACTTCACTTTTTAAAGTCCGTATTTGTTATGCGCGGGGGAGGGGGTGTCTGCCACAGATAACAGAGCACGCAGGAGGGGGAGGACGGGGAGAAGAGTGGTGAACTTATTTCTTATTTTATCTGACTTATTTATTTCATTTTTTATTGTTTTTATCGTCCTGCAGGCTCTGAGAGAAAATAAATTTGAAGCTGAGTTTTTGATAAAAATCATTAGATTACTCTAAACATCTGTAAACCTACAAAATTAGGGAAAATCTGTGTCAATTACAGACATTCTGTTCAAGTGAGCAGCTGTCAGTCGGCACCTGTCCTCCAGACGCACGACGGAGCACGTCTGAGCCAATCACTTCTTTTGACATTGATCAGCTGACTGATTTAAATGCATCTTAACATTCATGAGGTACTTTGACTGTTTATGGTTGAGTGTGGGCATTTAGAGGGCAGAACCTGAGGTGGGACCTTGTGCGCAAACTCTGAGGTGAAGCTGTGATCTAAAAAGGGAAGGTGCGCAGAAACATGCGTACACACGGTTTTATAAATCTGAATTTTTTTGGCGTACGCCATTTTCGCCTTTCGGCCGTACGTTCACTTTTAATATGGTTTCCACGCAATCTTTTATATATCTGACCCCAGATCCTTCTTCACCACAACGGACCAACACAGTGTTCACAACACTGCAGATGCTGCACTGAGACGTCTGTCATTCTCATGCTACATTCTTCCCTCACTCTAATCTTGAACTAACCATAAAATACTGTAGTTACACAAGTACATTAGTGTTACTTGTGTATTGCATGTTGGAGTCTATTGTAAAGATCATGTCACATCAGATCACAGCAATCTTCAGTGTGGGACAAAATTATCATGTATATCGGTATGAGATGTCTAACATGGTATACTGTGGCAGGGTCTTAAAAGACATGACGGGACCGGGTTTGGTCCTGGGCTGTGGGTGGGCTCCGGGCTTGGAGTGTTGCCTGGGGCGGGGCTGGCTCTCCGTCCTCTCTGGTGCTGCTTGGACTCCTGGAATGTGGCTCCTGGTTGCTATGGGTGGCCTACTGGCTGGGGTGGCTGCCAGGTTCTGGTGGGTGGTTGGCTGGGGGTGTGCACTTGGCTGCTGGCAGTGTGTGGGGGTGGTCATGGGCATGGCTTCTCTGAGGCGGGGGGCTGACCAGGCGGCCTGGTGCAGCCCGGGCCAGGCCTCGGCTGTCTGCTCCTCTCCACCCCAGAATTATTGGGTCTACCCCTTGGGTTCGGGTCTGTGCTGCCTCCTGTAGGGGGTGGGTGCATGTCCTGAACCTGGGGGTATAGAGTGTGTATCGGGAGTATGAGTGGAATGACGCGTCCTTCTTGTATGTCTTTAAATGAGTGGGTGTGAGGATGAGGGTGGGATGGTGCGATCGTGTATGTTTGGGTATTAGTCAGGCCGGGGTCTGGGCCGCACCCCCATGCTGGTTTGTCTGAGGGCCCACTGCTACTCGGCCCCCCAGTGGAGTGTACAGCTGGCCGCTGGCGTGCTGGGGGTTCCCGGGGTCTGGGGCTGGGCGCTGGGGTGTGTGCCGGCCTGGCTTGGTGACTGCCTGCTGGGGCTCGGGGCCTCTGGCCTTGTCGGGCTTTGGCCTGGGGGGGGTGGGGGGGTGCGCCCTGGGGGCCCGGACGTTTGTGCCCTTGCCTGGATTTGCTCTGGTGTGGCGGGTGCCGGCGGGGCCCATGAGTTTGTCGCTGCTGGCCCCGGGGGTTTAATGCATGTGGTCGCTGGGGGGACTCTCCCGATTCTCCCTTAGGTCTTATCTGGGGGGTGGGTGGGCGGTTCTTCCCCTGCGGGTGCCCCTGGGGGCTCTGCGCTCGGGATCCCATTTAATTTCAGGTGAGCGGACAGATGTTGGGTGTGTGGCCTTGTGTTTTCTTGTTGTATATTTAATATATTTCTAATCTCTTTTTCAATCTTTCTAATTACATTTTCTCTTTGTTTTTCACTCTTTTTCCATTTTCTCTTTACTTGAAAAAAAATCACTGATGATGAAAAAATTAAGAAACTAATATTAAGTTCTTTTTTCTACTGAAGTGGTTAAAAAATAAAATAAAATAAACACAAATGATTTTAAATCTGAAGTAATAATCTTAATTTAATCACCGCTATTTTCCTTCAGTCTGACCTTTGACCTCTGAGTCTGCGTTCATCTGTTCACGGTTCTGATTAATCTAACAGGCTGGGTTTCTGGTGTTGATGTCAGAATTTTTAAACTTTGTTTGACTTTTTGTATGAAGTTTCAGCAGAAGAAAATAAACTGAGATTAAAACCATCAGCTGAAGGATGGTTAAATCAATCCTGTCTGACTTTAAATGTAAACAAAACAAAAAGTATGTTTTTTTTTCTCTAAGACTAAATTGGACACCTAAAATTTAAACATGTATATCAAGGGTAAACAAATTGATACTGTGACTGAGAAAAAAAAGACATGACAACAAATCAACATGACTGAAGCTGTAGGTAGGTAGAAGTGTGGCTGTTTACCTGTCACAGAGCCAGAGCTCTGCCCTGCGGGTATGAGGAGGCTGCCGTTGTTTCCATCTGGTGGTGGTGTCCTGGGAGAGAAGCTGTGCATGTTCCAACGAGGAGCAGTGCTTGTAGAAACTCTCGGGGGAGGACAGCTCCAAGAGGCACACTTTACAAAATACGGTGACCCGTTTGGACTGAGCCTGCCTCTGCTGGCTCAGCTGAAGGAGATGAGGCCGAATGTGGAGCCCGCTGTGCTCGGCTTTCCACACGGCCATCTCCACCTCGCTCTGGGCGGATTTGCAGTGGCTGGCCTTGTGCCAGCAGGGTTTGCCTTGTCTGACGTGACTGCAGTACTTGAAGGTACAGTCTGAGGGAAGAGGGCGGACTTGGCTGTAGACGTGCTTTGTGTTGTTCTCTGATAGGTGGTGAACTAAGACTGGATCCCAGACATGTGCTGCGTCTGCAGAGCAAGTGTCGTTCCACCGTTTGGGCGTGAGCTTCATTGGACTGTCATGAAAGCATTTCTTGCAGAACTCACTGAATTCACCAGAAAAGTTCCGGTGTATGCTCTCAGCTGCACGTTCTGGTGTGGTTGAATCAGACTCATTTATGCGTCTGATTAACTCAGTTTTATCTATTTTATTCTCTCTAAGATAGTTCCACACAGTGACCTCTTCAGAGCTTTGAGCATAAGTGCATCCCTGACCTTGTGTGTGCTGTGTGCATGCAGAGCCCTCAACAGTGTAGTTACAGACTTTATAAATGGTATTTGGTCCCATATGTCCACCAGTGGGACGCTCAGAGATGGGCCTCCATTGGTCAGAACCCTTGTGTTTGGCTAAAAGCAGACTTCTGCCACACTTGTGTATAACTAACTGAACAGTGTAAGTAAGCTCGTTCACCTTGTCGGAGCACAAACCACAAACAGCCTTCAGCTCTAGGTCTGTATAAAGCACATCCAGAGGTCCTGTGTTGTTGGACGGCTCAGGTGTTCTCCCGAGCTGAGCTACCATCATACACAGACGAAGACGATCCCATCCACGCTGCTTTTCAAAAGTCCACACGGCAGCTTCCTCTTTGCTTCTTGCAAAGGTGCAGCGATTCTTGTGCACTGTGCAGCCAAAGTTCTCCTTAAAGAACCAGCAAACCTCATACTTCTTTGGGGTTGGAAATGAGGGTCGATGAGAAACGGGCCTCCATCTGAAATCATCTTTCGCTCTGCAGAGCAGGACAGTGAGCGCACACTGGTGCTGAACCGTCTCCAGTGAGTAAGTAATTGGGCTTTGCTGGACACAGCAGCGATCACAGGCCAATCTGAGGTCATACGTTAATAGCAGGGAAGACACAGGACTGGCTGACATGGCGGCACATTCATAATTTTGCACAATCACAAATTCAGACGGTTGGAATGCAAGAGTCTGTCCTGGTTTGTTTGAGTGAGTCTGAAAAAGAAACAGTAGACAGGTCAGGTGAATGGTACCAATAAGAACTTTATATTTCATAAAGATGAGCTCACATCAGTTAGATGAAGATACACACAGTCATGTAGTAGAAAGTATTTCTGACCCAATGAACCAAATGTACCCCTCTTCTCTCATAGCTGGAAATTAAAAAGTGAGACCTGGTTTACAGAAGCTGCTTTGTTTTATTCTTGGAACCAAAGTCTGTGCACTAATGGAGTGGTCCCGCCGATAAATGGCTCTTTGAAGGGATCCGGATCTTGGGGAGCCGTTTGTTTCATAGAGCCATTCGATTTTGAACGTATTACGTCATCACGTAGGAAAATACATCATCACGTAGCCGTACAAAATGACATAATCCCATCACGTGGGTGGAACCATGTGTTTGTCAAGCAGAACCCCCCCGATTTCACCGTGAGCTTCTGTACTCCACAACCCCGCCTGTTTTCCATGAAAAAGCAAAGCGGGAGCGATTTAAGTATGAAAAAGTAAAGATTATATGAGGAATAAAAGAAATAAAACTACAAATGGCTCGTTACTGCCCGCGATTCGGCTCCTATCGTTCGTTGTAAAGAGCCGTTCAAAAGAACATCTCTGAACTAGTAGATCAGGGGTGTCAAACTCATTTTCACTGAGGGCCACATGAGTGTTATGGTGGCCCTCGAAGGGCCACTTGTAATGAACTTTGACGTTTCATGTTGACTAAACAGTGTTTAGTCAAAACAGACATGTCCTCTTTAAAACACTGAAAAGAACTAAGTGTATGAATGACTAAATCTGAAATAAATACAGAAATATTATTAAAAGTAAAACAAATAAAGTTTTACTCACTGATGAGTTTCTAGTGAGTAGCTGCATTATGTCAGATTTAGTTTATGTTTGATGGTGACTTTAAAGCAGCTTATTTTCAGACATTAGTACTGTGCTATCCAACTAAATTGCTCAGTTACTTAAAATTTATTTTTATTTCATTTATTTTTATTAAATTAATTTGGTTGCATTTAATCATAAACTCAAAGTTTACCATCGATATATAAGAAACAGTTTTCATGTTAAGCAAAAAAATAAATAAAAAAATAAAAAACAATTAGTGGGAGGTTATCCCCTCCCCAGCAGCCACACAGGAGTCTCCAAGTCTTGTGTTTGACACACGTGGGATACAGTTTGAGAATACTCATTGATTATCTTTGACATGTGATCAGGGGAAAGCACAAACACAGTCCTCAACTACCAGAAATTCTGCAGTCAGGAGTACCACGTTTGAGGAATTCACTAGTGATGGGCAGTTTGAAGCTGAAGCTTTGGCGCATGTATTGAAAAAAACAACACACTGTTTCAGAAGCACTGTGTCGGAGTGTCCTGATGCATCTCAGTAATCCAGGTAAAAAATCAAAGGAAAAAAAATTGTATAGGTCCTCTGGACGGGTTCTTCTTTAATGAAACGTTTCGTCTCTCTTCCAAGAGACTTCTTCAGTTTGAGAGTTTCAGGCAAAATTCAGGCTTTTATGTCCTGCCTCCAGGTGAAACTCTCATGAATTTTGCCTGAAACTCTCAGACTGAAGAAGTCTCTTGGAAGAGAGACGAAACGTTTCATTAAAGAAGAACCCGTCCAGAGGACCTATACAATTTTTTTTCCTTTGATTTTTTACCTGGATTACTGAGATGCATCAGGACATCATTGGTTTATCATTTATCACAGATTTTTTATTGTTTCATCATTGGTTTATTATTTGTCATTGGTTTATCATTGGTTTATCATTGGTTTATCATTG